GCAAGATTTTTACCTTTGAAAAATCTCACAGTTGAGCTTCCAACATTCAATTGTACTTGATGGTGGCAACAATAACTAATCATAAGCTGTCATAGAGTAATTTCTGCATAGCTGTTGTACCATAATTTCTATAAGATAACTTATCTATGAAAGTCTTGATATTAATTTATCTATGACATATTACACGTTTTTAATACATAATTGCATGATTGTATATCATTATCTATAAAGTGATAATTAATTTTTACGCAGATTTAATGCAAATTGAGAGAATTCTCAATCAAGTTTGGGATCAGTTTTATCTAAATAGGAACCAGCGGTTACTGTTCCTCCTGGCGATAGAAGATTGTCAGTATTTAAAATCGCAAAGTAGGTAAATGTCGGGGAGGATAAGAGTGATAGCAGGCCCCTAGATTTAGCTTCTGTAGTAGTTTAGTTGTCTCCTCATCAAAAATTTCGATTCGTAACATAAGCTGTCCCAAGCATGAAATAAAATATTACTGCATTAAAGTTAAAATGTATGTTCTTGAAAAATGCGAGAATTATCTAAATACAATTCATTTTCAATGATTGAAATTACTCACCAATATTAACTTAGTTATTACAGTTTATTTTATTACGGCGATAAATTGGTGTCACAGTCATGAAAATAACTAAGATATAGGTTTATAGTTTACGATAGCATTTTGTTTTGAACTTCTTCGAAATTTAAAGCACTGCTTCGTAAATTACTGCTATTAGTGATAAAGTAGATCTTTAGGACATTATAAGGAATTAGTAAACATTTCTAGCAGGTATTTGAAATATAGAAGTTTGATAGAGCTCGTAATTTAGATAAACTTATGTATAAAACTGTTTATTACTTTCAAATGTCCGTGTATGATAACTTAATCGTAATAACTTTATTTTTATTAAAAATGTGTTGACATCGTAGTAAATATGTTTAATATGACTGATAGAGCATATCAGTGGAATAGCAATCAATAAAAATGTGAAGAGAGTTACGTTATTTTATGTTGTGCGTTAGTGTGTACTTCGCCAAGATTCTACTGTAGTTACTGAATCGTAGGCTACGGAACTAGTCTTACGGATTAAAGTAAAGTTTACTTTAAGTACTGCATTGTTTCTTGTGTTGCGGGGTAGTTGTAGCACTTGGCTAAAACAAAACAAGCACCCTCCTTTTTTCTTTCTGATAGAATATTCGAAAAATATCTAAGATAACCTCGATAGAATACCTAGCTATTTTAACGTCCACTAATTAGTATATAAACTTGTCACAAACCAGCTTCGTGACAAAGATAACGTAAAACAAATCTCTAAATTAATATAGTCTCCGGAATTCAGTATCCCTTAACTATCTCATAAGAATTTAGACGCATTTGCTTCGACGTTAAACGACTATAGAACTCTTCTTTATTCAACTATTTGCTAAGCTTAAAAACCCTTCGGTAGCTACTGTCATGTATGGGTCATAACAGTTCATTAATTTAGTTCATATTGGATAGCTAAATTGATGCAGAAATTATTCATAATCTTAGACATGTACTGAACGATTCTAGATAATTAGATTACAGTATTGTCACAAACCAGCTTCGTGACAAGGATAACGTAAAACAAATCTCTAAATTACTATAGTCTTCCGGAATTCAGTACCCCTTAACTACCTCACAAGAATTTAGACGCCTTTGATTCTACGTTAAACTCAACTAGACAATTGAGAACTGCTTTATTCAAATATCTGACGGGCTTATATACCCTTCTACAGCAGCTAACATTCACAAGTCATCTTATAAAAATACTTAGGTGAGAACATCTACTAACTAGTTTTTCACAGTCGGACTACAATATGTCCATTCACAGAATCATTTCAGTACACATTACAGCACGGCATTAAATTTACTGTAACACATTTATAATTAGAGTAATTCCTATTGTAAGGAACTAGGTGTAATATATTATCACTATATTATATTAACCAAATTTAGATAGCTATTTCTTCACGGTAGTTCGTACCGTGACAAGTATGTACATACACAAAATTATTTATAGTATCATCTATAATTGAATATTATTAGGATATTCATCACAAGCGTTACAAGACATAACACTATAATCAGTTAACATTAGCTATTGTATAAGAACTCTTACTACAGTACAGCATACTTTACTGTAGCAAAATAATAACTACCGTAGTTCTTACTGTAAGTTATTATTAGTTATCTCTATATATAAAGGTTAACCACTAAATTTATTCATTTAGTCTTCACTGAAGCTCGTAACGTGACAAAACTGCATACACACGTAGATCACGATCTAAAATTGATCTTTTATTCGTAGCGTAAAGATATCACAATCATTAATCATGGTTAATTATTGATTAATAATGACTATGTCAATTCATAGAGATCTTTCTTGGAATAAACTCGTATTGATCGACAGTTACGTTTTTAGCAATCTACCATCGCTTAGCTACTTGTAAGTTATGTACAATATTCAACTACAAGAAGTACCTTTTTGATACAGTTAAAGCTGGTTTTTTAATTTTTGAGTTGTATTATTGATTATCTTCAGGATATTTCAAGATAATAATATTCGTACCATTAGCAAAACAAGTTTGGAAGGATCCTCTGGAATAAGTACTTTGTAAGAAACCATTTTATCTACTAAAAAGGTATTGCTATTATACGATGGAGTAAAGTGTCCCACTAGTAATTAAAACTGCCGTTAAACACATAGAAAAATATTTTAATGTAAGTATATTCATATATATTGGCTGTAAAAATTTTGGAGTTTGCTCGCTGACTGAGATCAAAGACAGTTTTTTCTCCAACAATACGAACCTGCAATACCTGTTGGTTTGACATATCTAATGCGCTTATCTTAAAAAATCAATTTCATTGCTTTTTCAATCAGTACACTCTTTAATAATAAACTATTGAAAGCAATTAAATTTTATCTATATTAGATACCTTACTGGATGCACAATTAAAAATGTATCCTCTCTTGCTTTTTCGAATTGTACAGCTTTAAAAGAAATGTAAGAATTCCCTTCTTTAAATATAAATACAAATAGCAGCTACTTTGCTATCCTAGAAAGCATTATTCAATAACTTCAAAACAATTTTATTAATATACTTTTCAAATCAATCTTCTACTACAGAAGTTTATCGTCAACACGCATTCAAATTTTGCCCCCGTACCTTTTTGGATTCAATGGCAATTTGAATCTACGTAAAATGTAAGCATATTGTCAAATATCGAGGCTCAATTAAAGAACTGCAATAAAGTATCATAAGCATCAAATTCATTGCTATATATTTTTAATATTTAAGCAGTCCATTTATTAAATGATATAAATAAACTATAGTATTATTTTGTAACATCTGCAGCGAAAAAATATTAAATAATCCAAATTTAAGGAATTAACGGCATTTTTTTACATTTAAATGGTTGTAAAATAAAATTTTTCGTAGATATTTGAATACTTCTTCGTTGGAGCGTATACATGAGAAAACATTTTATGGACTACATAACCTAACACATTTGTAGGTTGAGTATTTATGCTCATTCGTTCAAAAATATCTTGAATCTCTGATATATCATAAGAAAAACTATTACAAAGAAATTTGACTGATTACTTAACTTATGAACAAACTATAGGTTACTTAGCCATAATAATATTCGATATTTGCAAGTGAATACTTTTAAATCTCTGGCATCACTAATAACGCTGTAAGTACCATTTTAATGCTACGGTAAATGTAACTATCTAACTAGTTAATTTCCGATGATACTTGCGTATAAATTATTGCTATACTGTCTAGTTTCAGAAGTCCTAGCAGTTTGAAGTCTATATTTTAATAGATGTCTTGCCAAACAGTGTACTAGAAACTACTGTTTAACATATCCTGACATTAGA